CCAGTTGGACATCAACATGAGAAAACAAGACGTTATTTTTTTTAAATCTCGATGGAAGGGGAAGGAGAAAAAGAACAGCAAGAAGAAAAACTGACAAGTAGCGAGGGCACTTAATTTAGCACTGTCCCTGTTCATGCATTTGCCAATCAATTTTGGAATCGCATGCAAACGCAATATTCGAACACACAAAAAACTTCGAATGAGGAACTTGGACGTAATCGGATCCAGCCAGAACAGTTGTGTGGGAACAAAAATCAAAGACTAAATTTAGAGCTTTTGCTGGAGCGCTGAGCCTGAATGAGTGTTGATGAACTGAAGGGAAATAGGAGTAGCACAAGCGACCGGATTCTAAAGCAAATATTTGTTTGCATGAGAAGAAAACGTCACGAAGTGTATTTTTTTTCTCCAGTTTGTCTAACAGTACTCGCTTAGAATTTCAGTAGAATCTTGGAGGTACTAATCTACCACGGTGCGCTGAAAGCCATGATTTGAAGTGCCTCCAGCTGATAGGACAACTCGACCCTCCTGTCAGAACGGAGAGTCAGGCCTCAATGGCTCCTTCTTAGCGTGGCCTCTATGAGACTTGCACTCGTTTGGGATTTGAATCGCCCCCCCCCCCTTTTGGGTGATCTTCTGATCCTTCATGCATGCACCAGGTGATGTGGTGGCACGCCTTGGTGCGGATCCGTGCAGTTGCAGCCGCCTGCGTCGGATTCCACCCCCGCACTTTCTGACTCTCACTTGACATCCGGTCCAGTTGGGTGAGGAAGGAGAGGGCGCGACAGAGGCTGTGCAAGTCCACTATCACGCAAAAGTCATGGCCCACTCGCCTGCCATACTATGGGGCATACGGTGGATATCGGTGGAAACGACTGTCAAGTTGTCAACTATAGTAGTCGCAGTAGAACTGGTAGTATCATTGGTAGCGGTAGTAGTAGTAGTAGTAGCAGCAGCAGTAGTTGTAGTAGTAGTGGTAGTAGTAGTAGTAGTAGTAGCATCAGTAGCGGTAGCGCTAGTAGTAGTAATCTCAGGCCTGCCTGTGGACTGGCAGTTTACTAGATAGACCAGTACATGAGGGTAGACTTATGAATGAAGGGACGGACTAGGATTAGGACGGGATTGCGCATCTCGTTACAAGTACCGAAGTTCCATCCTGGAGATGCGGAATGCCTTGTCTTCCTTTTCAACGGTAAAATCGCAGAGACCGACCGGTGCGTTTGGAGGACTAAGATGAAACCTCGATGCGACGGTTAGCAAAGCCTTTCTGTTAGATAACAAATGATGAATACCTAACACGTTTTTTCACTGCTGCCTACAAAAGCGTTTTCTGCATTTGTTTTGCAGAGCAAATCTGACCACTTTCCATTAATTTTCCTACACTTACAGTGAAAACGAATTTACGATATCAGTGTTAAAGCCCAGACTACGCCCTTTTTTAGACCAAGGTCCTCGTATGTTAAGAGATCAGCACTTTAAAACACAATAGCGTTTATGTATGGCTATAAGGAATGTCGAAGGCAGAACTGCGCAGTACGTTAAAAAAGAATACCCTTTGTAAGTAGCAGGAGTGAGATAGGGATGAAGAGACCAAGCGCGGGCGGTAGTAGATGAAATAGGACGGTCACAGTTAATCCGTATCCATAAATTCTGAGTGACATTGGTTTCATAGTAAGGTATGTGTTCCGGCGTCTGACATCAGTTGTTAGATAATGAAACCGAAAGACCCGCTGCCACGGCAAGAAACGTCTGGAGTCGTTTATGGGGTCTGGTGCAGTTGCGGACAAAGCAACTACGTCGGAGAAACCAGAAGATAGCTCCGAACGCGGATAGCCGAACACGCCGGAGCACTGCGCCAGCACTCAAGTTGCGACTCATTCGGCGAGATCCGGCCGCACATTTAAATTCGACAAGGCCGGAGTTCTCGCTTGAGGTGACAATCACGTGAGCTGAGAGCTGCTTGAGTCATGGTTTACTGGCCCACAGTCCATCAACAAATGCAATGACCTTTCCCATCCATACTCAGTGCTGGGACTTCACCTTAGCGTAGTAATTATCCTCGCGGGGAGCGCACAGGAGAACACTTTTCCTTACTCCAGGGTCTGTGGGTCAGATGGCCGAGCAGTTATCGCACCAACATCCAAAGCACGTGATGAGATTTTGGCAGGTAACGACGCGAATTGCGGCCATCAGACAGTCAGCACATCAAGTGCAACGATCCCTGATGATGGGGGGAGCCGCGAATATTCATAGGTATGCGGTAGCATGGCTACAGCATCCTAGAAATACTGCTTTAAATACTGTTATAAATAAATAAGCTTTTCTGTCAAGCTCTGTAGGGAAGAAATATATCAAAATCTCTGCCACAGAAAGACGCAGAACAGCATACAACCGACGAAAAACGAAGAAAATCCCCATGACTTCTTTACGGTGTGCGCAGCATATGAATCACAATGGGGAGTTCTTTAATTGAGAGTATTACAAACGCACTGATGCACTCGAATTTCCGGCCGTTTTTCAGTACATCGAACCTCCATTGTAAAGTCCCAGATGTCCGACGGTGTTAACGAGAATAAGAATTCTACTCACCACAATAACTCTCTTTGCATATTCACTATTTCTCTCTCCCCCCCCTCCCCCATTTCCTCCATGCACCCGCACTTCATCTTTCCTGTGGACCCGAGTCTAGCAATTATGCTAACCCAGTACTGTGTTGTGCTTCAATTCAGCTTCTGTTGGACAGTAGATTTTTAATCTTGGCGGAATAGCATTACCGATAAAGACAAGGGAGACCAGAATGACCATTTCAGCCCCCACTCTCCCGCATAAAAAGTCGCTAGCTACAGTCGTCACGACCATTGTCGCGTTGAGTAGTATATCCTCCAAGACTGGAATTTCAGGGCTTATCTAACGTCAAGAATTAACTGGATTTATGAATAGATGACTTGGTCGTCCATGCGACTCTTTCGATCAAATTAGGATTTAAGTCATCTGCACTGCTACTTACATGCTGCTTCCTTAATACGGGATGAAAAAATGATCGTGTTATTTTGGAGGCAGTTAAGCATGACCACTTTGGTGAAGAGTCTTTGTAGGAAACAGGCGTCACGAAATGAGCATGAATGACCGTCTTTTGTTTGTCTGAACTACCCCTCATCCCTCTAGCAGGGGCGATGATCTCTGCGAGCATGTTTCTGCCCTTACTGCAGCAGTCGTCTCAGCCTCATTCATGTCCCCTTCAGTTAGCGATATTTCGACCGTAACTGGCGAAAGGAGGCATTGCAAAATTTCATACGATACTTAGCGCATATAGTGTCTTCATGGTCTGACCGTCAAGAAGGCCGAAGTCCGCCGTGTGCCCCACAGGGAGCGGGTGCGCACCAAGGACTTGTGTGCTAATTGTTCTCTCATGATGGCAGACTTGTGAAGCATCCACTGCACTCCCTCCCCCTCACCCACCTGGCTCCGATGGCAAGACCGTGCAATGACGACCGAAGGTGGGCTCGGTCGCAGTGACTGGAAAATGCGCACGGCTCGTCTACGCGTGCAACGCACGATCCGATCCCCGCAGCACGCACCAGACCTCTGCGGGAGCTGCTCAGATCTCACACCGGCGAGACTGTTGCGCATATGGTAAACGGGAGGAGTCCAACCGATGAGAATGCATCACTGATCAGCCGAAGTTAACCCATGTCTAATGGCAGTCTGTCTGTTTTTGGATTAGATTTGTTACCAATGTTCCTAAAAGACAAAGACTCGTCTGTTTGGGGTTGCAGAGCAAATGAGTTGGCCGGGAGGAAGCAACCATCAGAGGACGACGGAAGTTGACTCTGAAACAGCATGCAAATGGCCGTGCACGTAATCGCAGTTCGATCCCGCATTCATTTCTTGTCAGGTTAAATAAAAGATGCAGGACAAATAGCCCTTGTGTAGACGCAAACAGCGTTGTCTTGGTGGAACATCCAGCGCTATTTTCCACCTAGAAAGCGATCTGCTGCCTATCTGTACAGGTCAAAGAAACTTTTCTGAAACTTAATCTTGGCGGTGCGGTTTACCACATTAGCTGTGATCCCCCGTAGACAGCTTTCGTATGTTCTAGGCGACTGCCTTATTTTCTCCGACTCGTACGTCTAAAATTTGCCGTAATCGAACGACCATTACCATGGACTATAAAAGTTGCAATAATTACACTTGCGCTCCGCAGTTGCTAAAACAGAGTATATTGCCTCTGCGTCGGGACAAGGTTTGATTTCGTACGACATCGTGCGAATTCTCGTTACGGAATGTCGTGTCTGAAACGTCCTGCTTTACATTAACACGGTCCAGCGCGCTGGCTGGAGTCTTCTGATGAACTTTTGAACGGAACAGATGCGCCTACACGAGCATAAGTCGATGTGTAGTCGTTTATTTTAACCCTTTGAAAGTCGCCGACCGTACCTTCGAAACAAACCCAGTTGTCCAAAGAAGAGTGTGGACGAAAACGGAACGTGATACTCAAAAAAAGTGAGAAGAAAATATAACCGTCGATCGATTAGGTCATTGGATCATGCAATGTCGGGAGTGGAAAAACTGCCCAAGGCAAGATTCACATACACACACGTGCACACATGTGTGCAGGTAAAAGAAGTCGAAAAACACACACATCCAGGAAAATTAATGTGAGCGTGCGGGATAAAAGTGGTTTTCAGGAAGCAAACTCCTCAAACCACTGCGGTAGTAAGACACTCTCACCGATAGTAGTTCGCACATTTGCACAAATACGCAACCAAGAGCAGGAGCATTCACACACTCGCACACAATTACTCCTGCCCCTCGTAGTGCCGAAAGTGGGGACAATGACAATAAGCTAAGGTCGGGGGGAGAGGTTGATCAGGACGAAAGCCTATTTCTCCCAACCTGCAAAAAGGTCAGAAGTCAATGTACAGATAAAGATGCGCCCGTTTTTAAGGGTCGACTAATGAGGGAAGAAGGGATGTAATGGTTGAGAGATGTGAAGCTAGTGACTAGCTCTGGCGTTTCATTGGCGTCCACAAGGTCGTCGGTGGGGTATTCCGCGACGGCGGTGATTGGCTGGCACTGCTGGAGGACGCGAAGCCTTGATAGCGTCGATTGCACGCGGCCTCTCGCACCGCGGCCGTCACACTTGCGTTGGCATCGCGCAACTCCTGCAGCACGTCGTCCAGGCCCTTAAGATTGAAGCTGGAGAGCTCACTTGTAAAGGGGATGCGCCGTATTTCTGAATTGGCGTGCTCTGACCCCCAGGGCCTGATGGTTGTATGGGTTGATTGGGTGTCCCCGAGAAAGAGGACCTGGCCGAGCAGTCAGTCGGTGATGTGGGCGTTAATAGATCGTAGCTGAATTGACGGTCGTTGGCAGTTGTGTTCACGCCACTAGTAGTTGCGATGCCATTTTTCGCATTTCATGGGGAAAAAAAGAATTGATGGAAACTCAGCCAAAGTCTCAGCAATCAAGAAGGTGGGAAGAAGAAGAAGACGAAAAAAATCTGGACTGAAACTGCAACCGATGACTAATTACCCATCATGATTTGTAGGCCTATGCTACTGTCATAAGTGACACATTTACTTTTACACTAGGCCTGAAGTCGTGTTGGTAAGGTTGATTGACTAAGTCCGGCGCAAACTTTTGGTTGCCTAAGGGAGTAATTCAAATTACCTATGCGTCGAGCAGCCAAGCTTCCGGGTCGTAGGGGGAAGAAACCGCCAATTTTCGGCGAGGTAGGGAAGCCGAATTCGCGTGACGAGTCTGTCCCTAGACCGTTGTTGATTCTGCCTCCAAGGCTAGGCCCGTTCAGCACGCGGTCTGTGCTGGCAGAACGGAAGCTCACTAAAGTTCTCACGGGCTTTGACGCCACGTATGCTGACTGTGCCAAATGATGATCAGGAGGCTTCGAGACCTGGCTCTGCATTGTCTTTCAGGTATGCTGTCGCAAGCTGACTTGGGGTCCCCGACTGTGAGGTCCTTAGTCGGGGGTCACGGGAGGAGCGGTGCCGCCTCGAGGGCAGGGTTGCGTCAAAGTCGCTAACAAACTTGGCTCCAGGGGTGGGGAGTTCCGGCGGCGCTGCGTTGTCGTAGAGACCGGCCTGGCACTGATCTGCGTTAGCAGAGGCATCAGCGCTGGTCTCCGTAGTCTGCCGATGAATGCATGATATTCATAAGAACATATGCAACGCCTACTCACAAACGTTAATAGCCAATTTTGAATTGTATTCCAACCAAGGATGGTGTTGTCATTACGGCATTCGCTCCGCACTTGCTACTGCAGATTGACATGTTTGGGAACGCAAACAAATAAGGGTGTTCGCCGACACCACTAGTAACTAGTTTTTTTCTGCTTCAGTGTAAGCTAACGGAAAATTTTTTTCTGTTGTTCATGGACTCGCCAACCCGAAGAGGGCGTGGAAATAGCAAAACCCAAATCAAATTGTCACAGTGATTAAACAGCTATTGTGTCAGCGTACGTGTACAATCACGAGTGAGGAATGATGAGAAGGAGATGTGGCTGAAAGTTTCGATGAAATCACAACACAAGTGTTGTCTCTCATCTCTTTTTTTCGACTGTAATGTCAGAAGTCTTTTTTCGTTTGAAAATTCTAGCTCAGTCTTGACAAGATTTTAAAGTTATTGGTTTATGATGCATTTTCACCTTTTATTTCGCTAAGAAATAAGATTGTAAATATAAACGCCATCCTCAGTTAATTCAGCTCGGGGTTCTGGAAGCAATGATCGACATTAATAATTACGTTCTCATACGTGAGGGAAGACCCTGTGGAGTTGCTAAACATACCGCCTTTCTCTCCAGCATTAATGGGCAGTCAGGATTTTTCTCTCAAAAAGTCAATAGCCACCTACAGGAGTCTCAATGAGAAAAACACCAATCAAACTAGTACGACCTCTTCCACTTCCCAACGCGCACATTTCGAGTCAATCAGAGTCAAGCAGGTGGAGGAGTGCAGAAATTTAATTCTCGAGTTTGCAAGCTATTGGACTACAAATCTTTCGAAGAACTCAGCGACTGAGTCCAAGCCATTCGTGATTTTGATGGTGCACGTAACACAGTCTGCGTCTTGTTTGTTGATAAGGTTTTAAAAATACCGCACACCCTACTTTTTACGACAGAGATGGTGGCCGTACAGCTAGCCAACTCAGTCTTGTGCTTGCCGAAATCGTTCTTTCTCGCCTTCCAGCATCAACGGCCCAAGCTGAGCCCGACATTTTCTTTCTGCTGCGAAACATAAACATATCTCAATGACAGCCCTCCCCTACTCTCTGGCCTTGGGATAACGTCATATTTCTCTCTTCTATTTGGCAAGTTTAAAATATCCTCAACTCCGCCATTCTTCCCGGTTGGACACGGCACTGCAGGTGGCCTCGCGCCAAATCCCGGGGGGTTCCTATTCCCATGTCCTAACTTTAACCCCGACATCTATCCTAACCCCGATCCTAACCCAAATCTACCACCCTGAAGTTAACGCCAAGGATACTTGTCATACGGAGGCTTTAAATTATTATGCCTAATCTCCGATCGAAACGTATGTTACCGTGATGGATTTCCCGCTTGTATCTAAGAAATAATGGAAAATTTACGCTTGCCTGGTCTGACTTCTTCAAATGCAAATTAGGCACGGTTCTGCACATACCATCTTCGACAACAGGGTGGATTCTGTGCCAGACTGGCTTGAACCCTGCTCAGAGAATTTCACCAGTGCAGTGTTCTAACTATCCTCCAGACACGAGATGATTCGCAGTGGTAGCAGACGTGACTCCACTTGAATTTGGCGCATGCACATCTGACTGGCATTTCAGACGAAACTTACCTTCGGCCTCGAGAAGGGCGATGCAGTGGGGTGAACAATAATCAGGCTGGCTTTCACGGTCGTTACTAGTTAACTGCACGTCGGACACAATGCTCATACGATCCACTCATGACACAGAACAAAAAGTACACAGGGCTCTCCAAACTCCGATTACGAGTAGTCGGGTTCGCTGTTTAAAACCTGGGAGCACGAATTCATTTCTCTCCTTTTGGGCAACCTTTTCGTTATTACTGGCGTGAACTCCGGACTCGAATCCCCCTAAGTAGCAGGCCGTTGGGAGAATAACACTTTAATTCCACACTAGTGAATTACAGTTATCAATACTTAAACAAAGAGCCAAAAAGTCGAGGATTGCTGACAAAAGCATATGTGGAAAAATTGAAAGAACTTCGAGAGAACAAAGAGATCTTGATAACTAGACCTGACAAAGGAACAGGCGTCGTGATAATGAACAGATCGGACTACAAAGCGAAGATATAGTCCATACTATCTGACTAGAAGAAATTCAGAAAGGCGGATAAAGAAAAGGATTGCACGGATGACGCAGAAGCGAAATTGACTGACTGTTTGAGAAGGCTTCGCACAGAAGGTCACATAAGTAACCATGACTTCGAACGCCTCCGGTCGATCGGCACACATATTCCTCGATTATATGGTTTACCTAAGATCCATAAGGATGGCCTACCGGTTCGTCCGATTTTAGATATGCGGAACTCTCCGTGTCATGCGATACCTAAGTGGTTAGCAGAGAAACTCAAGCCCATACAACGTCAGCTGGCACCAAGCAGCTATCGAGATACCTTCCAATTCATTGACGAGTTTAAAGCCCTCAACCTTAACGGCATGTTGATGTTCTAACTATACGTCTCATCACTTTTTACAAACGTTCAGGTCACCGAGACAGTTGATTACATCTCTGATTTTCTATCTGCCAGTCATCAAGAAATAGGAATACCGACGAAAACACTCAAGGAACTATTACTAAGATGCACATTAAATGCGCAGTTCCTTTTTGACAACCAAATCGATAGACAAATAGACGGCGTTGCCATGGGCGCGCCTTCTGGACCTCTCTTAGCCGACGTCTTCATGGAAAAGCTGGAGAGATTTCAACTAAGCGATCACATTACAAAGCTTAAACATTATGGTTGCCACGTTGATGATATACCCAAAGTAACGTTCGCTCGCCACTGTCTCTCCTGAACATAGTTATGGGGATTTTCACAGCTTTGAATAACTATCATTCGATAACCCTCGACCTACACGCAGCCTTATCTACATAACAAATTCCTGGCTCAGTTTATTGTGCACAAGTGCCATTCCCACAAGCCCCCTGTGCATAGGAATTCCGCAAAGACGGGGGGGCATCGGCACAGTCAGTAAATGAAAGGATCGCTCACTTATAAATACACGCCTTCGGCGCCCAAACACGAAAATGCTTGTTACTGACCATTATGAGAAGTGGCGGTTGCCATCACACTGGAGAAAAGCACGCTGACATGCCTGGGATGAGAGAAACGTGCGAACGGGGATGCAGATCTGCCGGTAGACTAACAAAAACCTACGAAGCTCCACAAGCTGAATAAATGTCAGTGTACAGCTTCACGTCGAAACGACTCATCGAGAACCAAACAAAGGTCCTTTAATGCGGATCCGGCTTAAACACATCCAACGCCATCTGGCCGCTCTCTCTCATAGATGAGCCAAAAGGCTTCCTTCGGTGCCGGGGCATCTCGTTGCACCAAAAAACTCACACAATGCCATGGAAGATGCCAAGGGCGTTAAAGGGCTCATTTCTAAAGCGGTCCTCTGAAATCTCTAAAAACAGATAGAAGAGGCTATCTAAAAAGATTCCCGGGAGGGCATACGGACAGCAGCTAGCCTCTCCTCGAACTACAAGTTATCCTGTGTTGAATTTCGGAAAGGCACCTACTCCCGTGTCTTGAGCGTAACATTATCCCTAAACCAAACCTTAGGCGTAGATCGAATCTTAATCCCAATTCTAACCTCAGCCTGCACGCAGGCATAGCTCAAGCATACACGCTTTCCTCACAGACTGGTTTTAAGGCCCACAAGTTCATTTTGTAGAGAGCTATGCTCCTGATATCCTTGTCGTGCAGAGGAAGAAGAGGAAGAATATGCAATCACTGGGACAGGGAGTTTGTTGGCTCGACGTTTCGGATTCCCACTCAAACCCATCATCACCTCCGACTGTTTTGATGACGGGTTCGAGTGAGAATTCGGAAAATCAGGCAAGTAAAATTCTTGCTTCAGTGATCGCATCTTCTTCTTCTCAACCGTTCTCTAGAACTCAACTGATCGGTTCCGTCGGCTACTTTTTTCGTTGTTAACCGGGACAAGATTAGTGTTGTCTAACCGACCTCCCCTGCCAGGTGTCATCATCCGCCATCAAACCAAGGCCGCTGACGACAAAGGTATACATGAAGCACCGACCATAAAGTTGCAAACCAGAAGACCCAACGGCAACGGAGTTCTGTATGCAGGCCCTAGGGACGAATGGAAGCTTATTGCAGTACACCATTCGCTAAGCGGACAAAACCAAACGACGCTGGCAGCTTTCCACATCCGACGCTCGTCTAACAACACTCGTTCGGAAGAACCGAGTGTCTCCAGGGTGAAGAAACAAACAGTCCAACCAGTCCGGATCATGCTGATCATTCCGTGCATGAAGGATGCCTCCTAGGCCATGGTTAGGTTCGTCGCGCTACTCACAATGGAAGTCCCTTACAAGATTTTCCAACAATACATCGGTGCAGGATGCTTCCTAAAAGAGCCTATCTTTAACCACTGGGAGTCAACCGTTCTCTACCAACTGAAGTACAGCTGTTAGGAGGGCAAGTGTGTTGAAAAAACCGACCGAAAACTCTGAACGAGGATGCCGAACTATCCCCTGGGCGTTAATACAATGAGAATACTAGTTAGTATTTTCCCCTGTTCTCTCTGCGTAAGGCAGAACCGGTGCGGTTGTGGGAAATGATGACACCTTTCACTGCGTATGATAATAATGCATCAGGTGGATGCTCTAACGACCCGCTTTTTAGTGTTTGCGAACAATGAGGACTGGCTTATAAACGTCCTCCATCAACTCTTCTGGCGAAGAGGCCTGTAAGTCACCTAGATAAATGTCATCGCACAATCAGTTAACACCAACCTGTGGCTTTTCCCGCAGAGGTAATGAACACACCTCCGGGCTCCGCCTCCATTTGCATTTTCTTCACCAACAGCGCTCCACAGCTCTAGTAGTTCCACACTTTGTCTGTCCCTCGGTTGACTTTAGGCGCCCATCATCCCCCACCGCATCAACCTCGGTCTCCTGGACACGATCGGACACACTTTGTCTGTCCTTCGGTTGACTCTTGGCGTCCATCATCCCCCACCGCATCAATCTCGGTCTCATGGACACGATCGGACACACTATGTCTGTATCTCTGTTGACTCTAGGCGCTCATCTTCCCCCACCGCATCAAACTCTGTCTCCTGGACACGATCGGATACAGCCGCTGGGGCTGAACCACCTGATGAGCCCCGATTCACTCGAAACTCAGCATTCCCCGTCTGACGATATCGACAGGGAGTTGTGACGGTGGGATGACGACGGGTCGAGAAGTTGAACTCGTCCGCCTCCCTTTTTTCACTCCCAGCAGCGTCGTGAGATGATTTTGGCGGAATTGACGGAGATCGTGAGCTGGCGCCAATGCCTGGAGAGTCGATGGCTATGGCAAAGCCGTTGGGCACCGTCTTGGTGAAAGCAGCCTGTCCCTTGGCGGCCTGCTCTTGACGCAGGCGTTGCTTGGCCTCCAGAGCAAGCTGTCAGATCTGAGCCCCAAGGGCGTCCACTGGCTGGCCCTTGGTGGACGAACAGCGGAAGAAGAACTTGCCGTCACCGGTGGAACAGCGACGACCCGCATCCACACGTAGTAAGCCGCCGACACAGCCAAATCTGCGGGAAAATAAAAGTCCCGTAACGCTTAGCTTTCCTTGCGGCCCGATGTATGTGTGTGTGGCAGTTTTAAGACATGGGCAGATTGGATGGATTTTCTCCGGTATGAGAGCACTCCATTGATTGTGTTCTCCCAAGCCATATAAAATCACTTGCTACCACCTAAGTGATTTTCGCTAGAGTAAACCACGGCAGTCTTCACAACGGGCTCCAAACCAAGAAAACCAAGGGGCAAATCTTCACTCTTCGGAATCGGAGAGATCATAAATCCTCGAGTCTAGAGATACTGGGCTAACTTAATTACCCAGTGTCTTCTAACTAGATTAAGTGTCACCTCGTTTCTTATCAGCCTAAATTAATTCACTCATAGTCCCGATCGTACTTTCGGTTGGCGCTGCAACAAAAGTTGCAGGGAGGCAATTATGATTCCTGCATAAAAAGCCTGGCAAAATACTTGAGACGGTCATCTGCTTTTTTGTGGCGTGCATTGCTGGACCGCTGATGATCAAAAGTTCTTGTATTTGACTCACTTCTTCTCTCTGTGATAAGACATTTCTGACATTGTGCAAAATACGAAACTGCGTAGCATGGCTGAAGAGACAAAAGGACAGTTCGTTATGGAAAAAGTGCAGTATGTAAGGCGCTGAATGCACTAACGTTTTCCACCATTTTAGTGTCGAAAATATTGTTTCTAAATGTCGTAAGGAAGTCAGGAAAAATGTATACTGTCCAGTAAGAGAAGCAATCTAATTCTCTACATCCGACGTGCTACTGGAAAGTAAGAGATAGTTTTTTGCGGGCACCTAAGTCACAAATTCGGAAGTTTCGGATGGAACAAAGTGTCAGTTTTCGATCACGGTCACCATCATCAGTGTGTGTGTTTTTTAGGAGGAAACAGAGAATTTACAACATCGTGCCAAATCAGGTGTGCTGAGGAGTACTAGGACAAACCGAACAGACAAGAGCATTCCAGGATAGGAGAAAATGGCATATGTTGGAGTGGAAAAAGCATCTAAAGTAAAATGTGAATTTACTGCCACAAGTGGTTATCAGAATTTTCTGCGAAATCCTGTGTGACTGGTCCCGTTGGCTTTCTCCTGCGCTGAAGGTCGTATTATGACTTGAAGCCTGTTGCCGGCAATTGTGCAGACGATGCCGCAAAGCCATCGTGTATATGTGCTCTGACATCAGACAGCACTATCATTCCAAGATGGTTCCTAACCCAGAATCGAGCTTTAATCTAATTTGGAGAAGGAGGAAGTTCATTTTAGATAATTAAAACCAGTTGGCGGTGGGAATATGGTCCTCTGTCTCACGCTAAATTCCGGGACGGCATTCCTATTCCCGTCTTCTAGCTGCAAATCTAACCCTAACGCCCGCCCAAACCCTAATCCTGACACCCCTCCCAACCGTTATAGCAACTCTAAATCTAAATTTAACCGCCAACTTGGAATTTAGGGCATTGCCACTTGTAACAAGCGGGTGTCCATATCTCCGCGCACAACCTTAAAACTTCGGGAGAGTGTTTACTAGTTCACTAAGCATTGGATCAGCCAATTGGAGTGCTCCACGTACACTCAGAACGTAATATTACGTCGACGGTTCACTAAGAGTCCGAAAGGCCAGACACAGACGGTCGTTTCACGGTCGTTGCCAATCACCAGTATGCCGTAGGCTTTATGAAGTGAGGCATAGAAGCATGTAAAGTAAGCGCGTCACCCTCACTGTTGTGGTCAGGATCTTGTTCGATCTCTTCTGCCCGCTTGCCAGCTTGCTACTGACAGACATAATGCGATCAAGCATGATCCTAACCACAGCAGTGACGGTGACGTGCTGAGGACTTTGCAATTTGTCCAACTGCAGTGAAATTGGTTCGGCCGCTGAGTGGTTATTAGCCGGTAATGAGATGATACTGATTCAGCATTACGGGAAATTCACGGGAATTGTTAGGCAGGTGACTGTCACGAAGGATTTTATTTCAGAATGTGCGCATTGGCATCGTTTAACGTAATCTGGGTCACTTCCATTCGGCAAACAGGTCCAAGGTTGCAGAATGCCACTTTTATCTGACTCAAGCCACTCCGAATGTGGAGGGTCAGGATAATTTTTCTAAAAAGATCAATAAAATTTTCCTTAATTGCTGCTAAAACACTTAATAGCCGGTAGTTGGTGTGTTGTGTGGTACAGAGATTTCATGAAAACTGCCGTGGTGCCGCTTTAAAAGGTGGCCATTTTAAGTTTTCTTGGAGGTTACTTGATGATCGCACGCTCCGTATACTGGCAGCTAAACTAAAAAACTGCACCACTGGTCAAGGAGGAGATCCAAGTTACCCCGTCAGTTGGCAACCTTACAAGCCACGGCTTTTAGCGCACCCTGATAGCTTCAAACGCGTCAGATTGATTTTAGTGAGGAAAATGTGCTAAGTTGTCGACCTCACTCTCCCTTCCCATTTCCACACCTCAGCCGCTGTCCGAGCCGGTCAGCAGACTGGAGTGGGGAATGGACGCGGTGGCTGGCACGGTCGACTGACCACGCCTGCGCGCGCCACAGCACGACCTGGCCCCCCATACACACACAAACACCAGGATTTCACACAACGGGGGTTGAACGGCGTGTCTCTCACTTGCGTGAGAGTGCCGTGGAAGGTGGTGTTTCAGCCCGTCCCCAGCCCACCAGTCCGCCACTCCACACAACACACACACACACAACTTGACGAACTGCGTAAGCCGAGGGCGGGCGTCAATCAGCAACCTTCCTATCCACGACACTTGACGTGTCGGGATAGTCTCGGACTCAAGTCAGCCGTGCAGCCGAAGCCGCATGGGGACCGAGTCAAGTTGCACACTTCCCACTTGCGTGGGAGGTGGCAGTTGGTGCATGCGGTGGGTGAGTGTCGATGCGTATTTGTGATGGTGGAGGATGCGTGATGGGGTGGTGGTAGTGATGCGGGAGGGATGGTGTAATGGTGCGATACAGCCGGCGGTTATCTACCGCAGGTCGTCGTGGCTGCGCATGTGGCCGAAGAGACCCATGCGGTGCGTGAAAGTGTGAGGGCAATGTGGGCAGTGGAGGCGAGTTAGGTGGGTGTAGGTTGGTGCTCCGGGCGTTGGTTGGCCAGTCTCTGTGCGACGAATTCGCAAGTGACTGACTAGGCCGATGTGTGAAGTTAAGACGTGATTGCAATGAGGACAGGTGTGAATGGAGTCCAGATTGGTGGTTAGGGGGGAGTTGGTGCGTCAGGATTTCTGTAATGTTGATGGGCATGGATGATGATGATGATGATGATGGCATTCGTCATCGATTTCACCATTGATTTTGGCGCTGCGGGAGAGTGTGCTGCCCAGATACGTGAAGTTGTCCATCACTTGCAGCTGGATTCCGTCCACGCTTATTTGCGACGCGTTGTGGGCATTGATGGGTGGCGGTTGATGCATGAGCACCGTCTTCTCCGAAGTTGTCGCAGGCGGCAAAGAATAGATCCGTGCTCCTTTACATATCCCCTTGTGAGGTGGCGTTCCGGACGTAGTCATCGGCGAAGAGAACTTCGTGGACGGTGGCTGTGGATGCAAACGACTGGAAGTGCATCCGCCAGTGGTTGAGAAGGTGGCCAGCCGCCCTGTAAGCTTTGCGGATCCGAGGACGTTCGTCATGGAGGGCTTCCATCAGCTTGGCAGACGGAAGGGCATCGCACGTTATGGCGGTCAATGAAGGGCGTTGATCAGGTTGCACGGAGTGAATGCAAGCTCATCATAACTCCTGTGGTTGGAGGACGAAGGGAAAGCCAACAACTGCAACAAAACCCGAGAGGTGCCAAGAAGGCGATTGGAAGTTCATCCGGCGAATGTTGAGGATGTGGCCAGCCGTCCCGTGAGCGAGGCGGATTCCCAGCCGTTCGTCAGGATAGACGTCCATCAGTATGGAAGAGAACATAAGACTTATGCATAACACTGCTTCATACCGTTGTTCACCGTCAAAACATGGCCGAACTACGGGTGACATTGAGCCTTTAGTTCAACTAGGACACAGGCATCCTCTCCTCTGAAGGTTTCCAAATGACAGGGTGTTTCGTCATCGACAAATTGAGAAGAAAAAGGGGTATTTATGTGTCAGACTTACCTCCTAAGCCGATTGGATAGTTTATAAATATGCAAAATACCAAATCGGCGTCTGAACGCTTGGACAAATTTGGTGGACGAATTTGGAATTTGTAGTTTGGTAACCCTGAGTGCAAGTATAACAGTTGGTCGGGTTCAAAATTATTCGGCAATTGGAAGCTTTTGAAAACCGAATTATATTTTTCCTACAAGGATAAAATTGGAAGACGTCATTTTCTACGGAATTAACAAACGAATGAATTATATACTGCATGTTTTCCATGAAATATAATTGAATATTTAATGGCATCGAAAATAAGAGTGAAAAATGCATGCTAGTTATGTAGTCATTTTTCACAGAGTACGGTTTTTGCATGTTGCCGGATGGAAGTTCGATCGAAAGCCAGCATCCTGCGGTAACTTAATTATTATTTAATTATGCTGCAGGATGATTAGTTTTACAACCCTGCTTATTAATCTTTTCGTGTGGAAAACGCATATCGGAATTTCGGTTAACATTGCTTGAGTTAGCCCACCAACTGAAGGTCAATATTTAATGTTCTGCGTTAGCTGAGGTGTGGGTGGCTTCCATGTGCGACATTTAAGGATATTAGCCGAGCGGGCATTTTACGGGAAATGCGCTCGACAGTGCTAGATCGATGACTCAAGCGGTGAGAACAAGAGAGAGGTAAAAACACTCTCCTCGCGCACTTTTTTACTGGCACGGCAAGAAATGACTGGCGCGCTGAGCGCTATAGCGTCGCAAGCAGATTGGCCGCTCATTAATGGATAAATTTAAATGGCGATCTCAGGAGCAATCCCAAACATATAATTTTGTGTATTTTAGGAGATCGTTCCGTCCGTTGAATTTATTTATAGTTACTGTTGATGCTGGAACACGGTACGTTTCAGATTATTCTTGAAATTACTATGGATACTTCACGATTTTCAATGGTTTTATCGAGTGGCCATAAATAGGAATTATTAAAAGAAGACGAAGAGGCGATCAGTGAAACGGTAGGTTTATGAGTCTGAGCTTTCAAACCCCTACATCTCTCCACCCCTAAGGACTGTGTAAGCGCAGAAACAATGAGCGAACACGAATGGAGGAGAATGTGTCATAACTGTCCTTGCCACTACACAGACCAAACAGGGCGACGTCTCAGCTCACGAATACTTAAGCACAAACGGGCCGTTCGGAGAGGCGACCCACTATCTCAAGTCGCCACTCACACGCTGGAGAAAAGCCATAAGATCGACATCTCCAACACGCGGACACTGGCGCGAGCCGACAACGAGAACTGTTGGAGGCGTGGGTGTCGAAAACCGACTCTATCAATAGACACATTTATTTGCCTGCGTGTTATCACGCACTCCGCCCACGCAACCAGGTGGCGCAGCTCACATCGCCGCGAAGTACAAACGGCGTCACCACGCCGGGGGACCATTGTGGACCAGGCGGCACAAACCAGACCTAGCAACGGACGTAGTCCCCCACCGCACGGAACAACGATAAAAATGTTCACACGTTGCTGTACTCTAGCAGTCTGTGATGATGAACTCCAGTTCGAGTTCGAAAGCTAAGCCTCAGTGATCGTACTTTCGTCTTCTTTTTAATGAGCGAACATTTTCTTAGTCGAGCTCAGAGAGAGGGGGAGGGTGGATATTATTTTGTCTGGAAAAATCACATAATTCGACACATTTAGCAATTAAAATATACTTACTCGCTTTATAATTAGAATCAATATAGTTGCTGATGCGAGAGAGTACGATTGGGTACTTCACGGCCTGGACAAATCATATAGTTCGAAAATTATCAAAAACTAAAATTTTGACAGGAAAAATCATATAATTGGACACATTTAGCAATTTAAAAATACTTTTTCATTTTATAATTAAAATGAATAAAGGTGCTGATGCGAGAGAGTCCGATTGGGTACTTCTCGGTCTGGACAAATCATTAAGTTAAACATTTTTCAACAACTAAAATACTTATTAATATCATAAGTAGCATTTTTTAACGTGCTGATGCGATATTCTCAAATGCGATATTTTACAGACTAGAAAATCACATAAATATACAATTTTGACAATTTAAAAATAATTATTCACTTTATAAGTAGCCTCAATAAACGGGCTCGTGCGATAATGTCTAATTAGATATTTCACGGTCACGACAAATCATATAATTTGACACCTTTTAGCATTGCAAAAATAATTATTCGCTTTATAAGTTGTATTAAGTAACGTGCTGTTGCGATACTGTCTAATTGGATATTTGACGTTCTGGACAAATCATATAATTCGACAATTTTAAAAATTTAATATTATATATTCACTTTATAAGACTCGTTTTTACACGGGCTGATGCGATACTGTCAAATTTGATATATCACTATCAGGAGAAATCATATAAGTCAATACTTCTCTAAATTTAAAAATATTATAAACTTCGTAATTAGCGTTAATAAACGGGCTGATGCGATACAGGCCAATTGGATATTTCACAGTCTGGACAAATCATATATTTCGACACCTTTTAAAAATTTGGAAATAGTAACTGGCTTCATAAGCGGCATTAGCAAACGTGCTGATGCGATACTGTCTGACTGGATATTTCTCGGTCTGGACAAATGATATATTTCGACACTTTTTAACAAACTAAAAATTATTATTCACCTTATATGGAGCATTTATATAAGCGCTGGTGCGATACTGTCTTTGTTGATATTTCACGGTCTGGACAAACTATTTAATTCGACACTGGTTAATAATTTAGAAATAATTATCCACTTTATATTTAGCATAAGTAAAAATTCCGATGCGATAGTGTCTAACTGGCCATTTCGCGGTCTGGCCAAATCATATATTTCGCACGGTTTAACGATTTAAAAATATTTATTCACTTTATAAGTAGCATCAGTAAAAGTGCTGATGCGATACTGTCAGACTGTGTATTTTACGGTCTGAACAATTCATATATTTCGAAACTTTTTAACAATTTAAAATACTTATTCACTTTATAGTTAGCTTTAATAAACGTGCTGATGCGATAGGTCTAATTGGATATTTGACGTTCTGGAGAAATCATATAATTCGACACTTTTTAACAATTTATATATACTTTTTCACATTATAAGTAACACTAATGGACGTGCTAATGCGATACTGTCTAATTAGTCGTTTAACGGTCCGGCCAAGTCATTTATTTCGACAACTTTACTATTTCGAAATGCTTATGCACTTTATAATTTAAATCACTAAACCTGCTGATGCGAGAGTGTTCTATTGGATATTTCACGGTCTCGACAAATCATATATTTTGGCACTTTTTGAGAATTTAAATTAACATTTTTAATTTATAATTATCACTTATAAACGTGCTGATGCGGCACTGTCTATTTTGATATTTTAGGATCTCTGCCAATCTTATAATTCGGCACATGTAAACAATTTAAAAATACATATTCACTTTATAAGTAGCACCAAAAACGTGCTGATGCTATACTGTCTTGTAGGATATTTCACGGTCTGGACAAATCATATATTTGACACCTTTTAACAATTGTTATTTATTATTCACCTTATAAGTAGCACGCAAAAACGTGCTGATGCTATACTGTCTGATACGATATTTCCCGGTCTAGACAAATCATGTAATTCGATTTGTTTTAAGAGTTCAAAAATAATTATTCATTTGATAAGTAGCATTGATTAACGTTCTGATGGGACACTGTCAAATTGGGCATTTCACGGTCTTGACAATTCGACACATTTTAACAACTTTAAAATAATAATTCACTTTAAAAGCAGCATCTATATACGTGCTGATGTGATACTGCTTGTTTGGATATTTCACGTCCTGGACAAATCATATAATTTGACACGTTTTAACGATTTAAACAGATTTATTGAGTTTATACGCAACACTTATAAACGTGGTGATGCGATACTATGAAATTGAATATTTCACGGTCTGTTTAAATCATAAACTTTCACGCATTTTAAAAACTTAAAAATAACTACTTATTTTTTATATAGCTTCAATTAACGTGCTGATCGGATACTGTTGAACTGGGGTACTTCACGGCCTGGAAGAATCATATAATTCTACAGTTTTTAAAAATCTGAATGTATTTATTTGCTTTATAAGTAGCATTTATATACGTTCTGATGCGCGAGTGTCCGATTGTATATTTCACGGTCTTGTCAAATCATAAATTTCGGCACTTTTCAGCAATTTAAAAATACATATTCACTTTAAATTAGCAGCAATATACGTGCTGATGCGATACTTTCTAATTGGTTGTTTCGCGGTCTACACAAATCATATAATTTGACACTTTTAAAAGACTTTAATATGCTTAGTCTGCAAGCATAAATTTTGAGTAGACGTACGTTTCTGGCAATTGAGTAAAAGGCATAGCATTTTTGTTCATGCTTTCTGTAAAATGTAGCTGAATTTTAAAGGTAATCAGCATCCTAATAATAAAGGAATATTTTGGCATCAAGTGGCACGATAATGAGAATGACAATCCAATTAAACGCAAGACACTCCCGGTCGTCGTCCGAAACAGGACTCTGAATGCAATCATTGGGTCCACCGTATGACCCGTGTCCATTAGATGCCTTGTAACTGAGCTCCTTGGTACCATATATTTCGCCTTAAGCAGCCACTTCAGCGTGTGTTTAGCTGACCGAGCTGCCAACTGCCTTTACGTGCGCCAAATGTGTCCGCATCCGCAAATATATGTAAACTCATATTGATGTGGCGCGCATAGGCAAAATATCTTCAGCTGGTCTAACTGGAGTCGTTGTTGTAGTGCTTACGAATGAAGCCCCATAAGGGCATTTCGTTGAAGTTGATTGGCCTCTTCGAGTAGCTGTGATTGGTCGAAAGCCAGACAGAGCCTTCCGGCTTGAGATAGTAAGCGGGAGCACAGCACAGGGCCTTGGAATGTCCGATGAACAATTGTCGCAATATGTACATGTAAAAATTCGCAAAACAGAGACAGCGTTTCAGCAGACGGCCGGAGTAGAGTCAGTACACGTGCTCCGTGTCACTATGCAGTGAAAATTCACCCAGCCACTTTTTGACTTCTGACACACTCCAAACCAAAAATTAATTCAGAAATCATTGTATTAGTTTGCCATCCACGCAACTCTTCGCAGATTGTCCAGTCAAGCGTGAATTTCGTTTAGAAATAGAACCCTTCATGCATACAACCCACAATGACCGCCATATCGGCCTTTCAGGGGTGCACAAGGCTAATGCGTTGTTGGGCGTTAGAACTATCACCCATTGCCTCTCTCAAATACTGTCTCGACGGGTGACTGTACATGTAGCTAGATGTTTTCCTTGATGGGCCTCACTATAACATCATCAAACCACACACGTTTCCGCTAAACGACGACGACGATGACGATATCGTCCTGTTTTCCCCCAGTGCCACTTGGCCTGTCAGATGTCCGTTCTTTCAGGTTCCAAACTCGACGCATTTTCTTAATAATTTGTCTCCAATGTAAGAAAAGTTATAACTTTCGCAATCCATACTACTAATGCATTAAAGAGTCCAACCTGAGATGGTCGCAGGCTCACCACAAGAAGACCACATTCGCATAACTGAAACAAAACATATAGGCAGAATAGTATTACCGACGGTAATTCTATTCTGCCTATATAGCATGCGCCGCTGTGCGGCTGCTGGTTGGGCTCGAGAGAGAGCCGTTTAGGCACAACGAAACGAGTGAGTTCCGTATGAACGATCGGTGAGCGCCCCCTACCATTGAAACAAAACAGTTGGCTTCACTGCATGGATGAGGCCTTCTTTGGTAATTGCCTTTTATTTTCCTCAAAAACGCTCTTACATATAAATGAAGCGCATTGGCTTCTAATGTCGGAACTTCTCTTAATGAACCTGCGCAGAAAACGGTCTACGCGCGGAAATACTGGAACTGAAAGTGCATTCCAATGTACTTGCATCCACAACTACACACAAACTCATGAATACAGTTTGATATGGTGTGCATTGGCAAAATATATTTAGCTGGTCTAACTGGAATGGCCGTTGTAGTGTTTATAAACACTATAATCCTAATTCGCGTAATATATGACTTCTATCCTCCCACACCATGCACAACCGCATAATAAATCTTACTTAAGTAATTTTTCTAACTGAAGATTTTTGTCGGGATTTTGGCCTTCGTTTCATGAGATACAACAGCTACTGAATCTCCAACATCGAAGCTGTTTCTATTGGTGAAACACTGACGCTAAGGGGGATGCCATATGCTCTCCCTTCACATGCAGGCCGATTGTCATTCACACTGAACGGATGCCCCTTTAGCGCACACGTAGAGATTTATTTGGTTTGGCAAATTACTATGGTCTTCGACCGCCTTAACAAACTAAATTATGTAACAAATGACGACTTATGCATTACGATGGCCTTCGAAGGATTGCAGACACGTCCCTATTATCCTACCCTCCACATGTGGCAGGCTTCGGGGAGGACTGCCAGGTCTCACACAAGTGAGAGAGATCGTGCCACAAAGACCGACGTAAGGACTCATTGCTTCCGGGCCATCGTTCGACAAAAACGTTTCTAACGGTGGACTGGATCCTCTGTCGAGACAGTGTGAAGTTGCGCACGCACTTGTTCATAGTGTGGAAGTTGGACGACGAGAGCTCGCTGCCGGACACCTGCAAGCACGGGGTCCCCACATACCCCCAGAAGACAACAAAGACATGTAGTTTTCTTACAAATTCTGCACAGTTATAGTATTCACGAGGAAATGAATTTCAGAAAAGAAACCATTGTTAAACCTGTTGTTAGCTTGACCAACAAAATCGGATATTTCCAGCCAAAATCCCCATTATCCTCTGTATGTATACTTTTTTCGTGGTCCGACCAGAGCGTTTTTTTTTCTTGCCAAATACAACAACTGCCGCATTTCCTAATGCCCGATAAGTGCCTCCGGCTTTTGGGTCGCCTAAAATCCAATCATAAGACATGGCAAGTCGGCTGCCCGTTTTCGAGGCCTCGCTGACGTCGCAGGGCAACGCCCGCCAAAATCGGGGGGTCTGCATCGGTAGAAGCCAAGTTTTCCGGCACCTCGAGTGCCTGCTCCCTCCCTCTGCAGAATCGGATCGGAACCGCGTTCCGGACTCGATGGGATAGGAACGTTATAGCTGTCAAGCCAGGTGTAGATAAATCAATCAAACTCCAATCAAACTCCCCATCGTTATAGCAGAATTGTGGTTGATTCAATTAATGTCAAACATTATATGCAAGGGATACCTGGAGAATAGTCACTAGTATAATCAAAGCCAAGCATTGGCAGTTTGCAATGGCTAATAGGATTAAAGTTCGAAGGAGGCTAACAGATACGGTGCCGGTGGATTACCGGCAAAGGGCTAGGAGTCTAAGGGGACTAAGTCAAGATCGAGAAAAAAATTATAGCTACATCACTACACAGCGTCCCCTCCTAGATACAGGTACTGCTGACCTTAGCGAATTTCGTGTTCTTTGTTTATATTCTGTTACCCGGCAATGTCTGGTCACTGATGGGGTACATCGGATGCCTTTCCACCCTCGGGTGGAATTTCCACAATCCCCACTGATCTACGCTATCGTATCAGGCAAACTTAAAGTAAGGATATATGGATGTTACAAAGTAGTACAATTACTCAGATGAATTGCGAGTGGAATATAAACTTCGAAAACCAAATAGCATGCAGTGCATTTAGTGTGTTCATTTCAGTTCAGTTTTATCAAAGGAAATGTAGGTCTTCACCTTTCCCTCTTAAAGAGTTCGACGGAAGCAGACGTCCTCAGACAGGCCGTTCCAAGCTTCTAGCACACTGTTAAAGAAGAAAAACTTTCGTGTGTCCAGCCTAGCCCCGGTCACACGTAGTTTGAACGGATGAGCTCGTAAGTGGTGGTTGCTAACTCGACGGTGTCTCCCAGTACGAGGCTGCAGTCCCAACCACGTACGATACGGGATGTTTGTACAAGGTCACCCCGTAACTGCCTGCAATTCAGGGGAAAGAGATCAAGATTAGCTAACTGCGTTGCATATGGTAGTGAACCCTGTCTTGTCACAAGTCTTATTGTACGCCTTTGAACCCTTTCAAGGATGCTGAGGTCCTTCGCGGTCCAAGGTCTCCAAGCTTGGATAGCAAATTCCAGTCGCGGCCGCACACAAGTTCGAATGACTTTAGCGAAGCAGTCTTCATCGAAGGCGGAGAAAGCCCGCTTGACAAGGTAGAAGACTGACATTGCAGACTTGGCTATCTTTGTGCAGTGGAGCGAGGGTTTGAACGAAGTCGTAATCCATACTCCCAAGTCCTTCTGCGAGTCCACTTCTGGCAGTGGTATGCCATTTAGGCAGTAGGCCATATGGTTCAGAGGGCGAGCTCTGCCGACTCGTAGAATATTGCATTTTTTCTCATTGAACGGCAGAAGCCAGTCCTTCGACCACTGTTGGAGTCGTTTTAGGTTCGCCTGCAAATACTCTTCAACATCTGCAGTTTGAATGACGCTCCATAGTTTTATGTCATCCGCAAACATGGCAACACCACAATCCAGTTCACGCACGCAATCGTTGACCTAAATAATGAACAAAGTAGGGCCAAGAACTGAGCCTTCGGGGGACACCGCTTTCAACGGCAACCTCTGTAGACTGCTAGCCACCGACATGGACAGTTTGATAACGGCCTAATAAGGAATCTTGAATCCATTTTAAGAGGTTACCCCTAACGCCTGTTCGGCTCAGTTTTTGCAGGAGTCGCTGATGTGGGACACTATCAATTGCCTTTTTAAATTCGATATAGGCTACAAGCAGCGCATTGCCCTCATCAACTGACCGAGTCCAACGTTCTAAACAGTAGAGCAAGTTAGTCACGCAAGACCTGCCACTACGAAACCCATGCTGTGCATGAGATAATGAATTACGCTGATATGGGAAGCAAATTAGCTCTTGTTTGATTATTTTCTCCATGATTTTGCAGCAGATGGAGGTGGGGCCAGTTGGTCGGTAATTGTTTGCAGAGGCGTTGTTGCATCCTTTATACAGTGGTGATCCTCACAGATTTCCGGTCGGCGGGCAAACAGTCGGCTTCGAACAAGGTTTAAAAAAGCATGGACAATGGATTGACTCATTTAGCAACGAGCTCCTTCAGTAACTTGGGCGGTATGTCGTCTGAACTTGGTGATTTCATTAGCTCTTTGCGAACAGTCGCTTCATCAAAAGATACAGCATCAATTTTTGGACACTCATCAAAGTCATAGTCAGAAGGAGTAAATGCGCTTTCACTCGTAAAGATGGATTTGAAAAATTGTGAAAGGTGCTCCGCTTTTTCCCCATTCTCACTAACCTCTACGCCTCCGCTTGTCTTCAGTAGGGGAATTGGATCTCTGCTCCGTGTGTTGTTACTTATGTAGCTGTAGAATAATTTCGGATTTTCCACAGCACGATCCAATAGGTCTTTTTCAAAATTTTGCCGTGTCCTGAGGGTTAGTCGCTTGACTAAGTTCCTTTGTGTTTTGTATGCGTTTATGGATACAGGATTCCCATCAGCAAGAGATTTCTGCCACAATCTCCGCTTTTTATCGACTTCCTTTTTTAACGCCTGGGCCAGCCACCGGGGTCGATTGTTAACCCTTTCCGTGAAAGCGGGCAGTGGTTTCTTAACCATTTCCAATCTTCAGCTATATTTCCGGAAAACGCTGATTCCCTGTCTGTATTGTTGACTTCGGCCCACGGAAAAGATTGTATAGTTCCATTGAAGTACAACGTGATCACTTCCACCTAGGGGAGGCAGACATTGCACCTCATCTATGCTGTCCATCGATTTCGTGAACACCAGGTCCAAGCAGTTTGGCCGCTGCCCCTCACGCACCCTTGTAGCAAATAGGACGTGCTTAATGAGAGATGACCTGAGTGCCATGTCCAAGAGACGTCGGTCGAAAGCTAGTTCTGGGCCGCGCGCGTATAGTGATCTCCAGTCAATGAGCGGAGCATTGAAGTCGCCCGTGATCGGGACGTTAGGCCGGAGAGCAAATCGTCCTAGCTCCTCTAACAGACGAACGTCAGCCTCGGGGTCACTCCTCGGTGGTGGATAGACGGTCAGAACTTCAAGGCTATATGATCCTGGTACCCTTATAGTGAGCCAGATAGTCTCGGCGCTGCACGCAAACTGGTCTGTTTTGTCTGATACAAGCAGGCCGTGTTTTACATACGTGACGACTCCTCCTCCCTGACGCTCTCTCCTATCTCTTGAAACAACTGAAATCCTGGTAGTGCTAATTCGCGGTCATCAACGTTTGCAGACAGCGGGGTTTCTGTCAAAGAGACAAAATCGGGAGAAAGGCCACAGATTTGGATCTTCAGTTCGTCTAACTTGGTCAGTATACTCTGCACGTTGGTGTAAAAAAATGTTAGTTTCAGAGTTTTGGGGCGTTTGATTATAGTGTCGCTTAAGACCCCATTCAAGAAACCTATTGCGCCCTCATTCAGATCGGTTCGGTCAAACGGATTGTGGGAGGGCGCTGCACTATCTGGTCGTTGTAGATTACGAGATTCGTCTCGCCATTCTGCAACCCTGTTCTCAGTTCCAGAACCAATTGTCGACGCTTTATTCCCTCTGACGGTGTGTAGTCCGGCCGAAAAATACGCCGCGGTTGGCCTCTTTGATTCGGAATCGTCGTGAGAGAATAAGTTCTACTTGTGTTTGGCTGGCTAACATAATCTTGAGTGGTCGGGGACATGAATGCTCTGATATCTCGATTGAGCGCCTTCGAAGCCTAAAGGCCTTGAGAACCGAAACTTCCTCATTAGGGCGCAGAACTTCGTTGAGTAGGCATTGGAGCAGTTGCAAGTCTGCCGAAACCCGCTCTTTTGAGGCACTAGCTGTGGATTCGAGACGTCCCTGAATAATCAGACATTGCCCTCTGACCGGCGACTCTCCCGAGAACACGGTGGTTTCATGCCCCGACAAAAGCAATACGTGGTTGTCATGATGTGAATATGATATAAACCGCAGTCGATTAAGATCCTCATTCGTCTCTGTATTGTTTGCACTTTTACCACAGTCAGAAGTTTTTTGCGATAGGTTGAGAGTTTTAGGACCCATGCCATTTCCCGTGATGGGCGACACGGTCGCCGACGTCCCTGGTTCCGGTTCTTCCGCGGCATTCCTCGGAATCGGCTTTTCATTTCCTTCGAGCTTTTCACTGCACGATTTCTTTTTTTCCTCCGGCTTTTTTTCGTGCCGTCGCTGGTTGTTGTCGTCTTGTATTTCATGTGTGTGTGCTGGGTCTGCCGTGACAGCTGAAGAAGGTGTTGATGGCGTCTCTTTTGTGCAAAGTCCTTTGACCCTTCTTCTTGTTATACTTCCAGATAGTTTATTCGTATTGTCAACTGTGTCTAGTCTACATTGTAGAAGAGTTTTTAACTTTTCAATCTCTTCCTCAAGGCGGTTGATTTTGCCGGCCAATATCTGGCATCCGCTTCAAAATCGATCGGTTTACGGCACACATTTACTATCAGGTAAACTTTGTGACATCGCTAACCGGCGTGCTGCGGTGGCCGGAGAGTTATCGTGCGCGAGTGAAACATTGATGGTCGGTGGATCGACCCCGCCATGCAAGGTAGTGTTTCGGAAGCTGCGCAAATCTCCATCATGTAGTGGACTTATGCAAAACAGAAAAATCTGCAGGAATAACAAGCTTTTTCTTAAGGCACAGTGTCTATGCTTATGGTGGGTACACCGAAAATTTCCAGGAAACACTTTTTTCATGTAAACCTATCCCTGCCAGTACCAGCCCCCTCGTGCCTCCTCTAAGCCCCGCCTCGTGAAGGTGCAACGACGGGGCTGGAGAGGGGGCTATGGTAGGAAAATTCCCGATGTGGCCCCCTCTGGCGCCTTCATCGAAAAAATGCTCAGGGGACACCTTATAATTGTCGTTTTTGCCACCACTCCTGGCTATATAAGACCGTCTGACGGTATTGCGTTACAGTCCAGATCCCCCTTTTCTATACCGATTTTCCCCGGTATCCATCCATAATTATCCCTTTATGCCTTCTCGCGAACCCCTAGTCGCCTAGTTTTTTTGTTATAATCTACCCCAAATTCTTAAAGCCGATTTCCCCCACAATCGTTAGCGGATCTTTATGTGTTACTGCGTATCCCCGAACGAACCATTGAACGTCATTTATTGTTTGTGGAAAATGCATTAGACGAAAAAGATAAAAGTGTGGTTTGTTCAAAAAGTCATGCTTCATCAGGGGACATATTTGGCTGGCCGTCCAGGTCGGTTGCGGGTATCTACAAGAAAAGAAAGCAGAGCGTCCCATTAATTTAACGGTAAAAATTATGCTACTGAAGTAAGTCATTAGAGTAGCGCATTTATTGTATAGATTAGTATGAAGTTGAATAGCTGGAATATAGGCAGATTTTAAAGATATAAAGAAACGCGTTCTTACAGTATCTTCCGAAGTAGACTGTGTTAGGTATGTTTCGGCCGTACAGGTGCCAAACATATGTTTGGTAAAATGATAGTTGTCTGATTTTAAGCAGCACAGCAAGTAGTGTAGAAAGATCGACTCAGCCTTTTGGCAGATGTTTCTCCAAACTTCGGCGTACAGTTTGAGACGGTATATTGGATGATTAGGCCCTGTAGAAAAGCCGAGATTTCCGACAGAAAGACAGTGTTTTGCAGAAATTTGTTCTGATCAAACGGTAAGGGTATCGATGGAGCTAGCTGGAGGATCGTAGTCAGAAACGCGTTTTATAATTCACTTTTTGATGAAGGACAATCGTTTTTAGTGAAGAGACTCGATTGAAAAACTTCCTTCTTGCAACTCAAAATTCAAGCTACGCGCGTCAGTTCACTACCCGTTAAAGTGAATTTAAATAGCATAGGGTAGCACTATGGTTGTGCTTGGCAACCTTGGAACAGCGGCCATTGTCAGCGCATTCAGAGTTCACACCAAGGGACCTTGTAAGACGAACACGGCCGCGATCAATGATGGCCGCAGTTCGAATCGGCCTAGGGGGACGCATTCGGTACAAAATAGAGTTTGCTGGCGCTAACGACATGGTAGAAAGAGTTTGGGCTTAATAATGGAACGGTTGGTTGTCAAGAGTATAATAGCTAACGGAACCGAGACCAGAAACCACGACACACGGCAAGTACCTATGTGATTTATCAATATCGCTACTACGCATTTATATTTCATGCATGTCAATGCAGCATTGAGGATGATGCATTTCCACAGTAGGTGCGTCGTCGAAATCGATGGCCGAACTATCATAATAAAGCAAACTGAATGAAATCCGGTTGACGTTTGGTGATCCGCTGTTCCGCTCTGGAAAGTAGAAAGACTAGCGGTTCGAGAACTGAGCCTTGGAGGAGCATCAGTAGTCGCGATCACCAGGTCTGACATATCATCCCCGATACGGACAGGCTGTTTTGTGATCAACCAGAAGCGCGCTTATCCGACAAGAAGGCTGACAGCCGCCTTCACACACCTCACAGTGTTGGGGTTTTAAAAACTACCACGGGATAAGCCTAATCGACGCTGCGGCGAAAATCTTCGCTATTGTCCTTCTAAAACGATTCCTGGCTGTGCGTGACTCAAGGACGAGGCCCAACCAGGCCGGATTCCGTGCTGGACGTAGATACGCAAATCAGATATTCACGCTGAGGCGCATTCTCGAATTTCGCCATAGCTACCCACAACCGACGGCCGTCTGCTTCATTGACTTTCAGCCGCGTACGATTCTCTCCGTCATGAGTCCCTATGGCGGACAATGGCACTAGATTGTGTACCGCCACAACTCATTGCCATGATCAAAGCCTATTATCGTTCCACTACTGCGCGAGTCCTGATCTCCAACAGTCTTTCCCAACAGTTTGGTCAGAGTTGTATCCTGTCGCCCATCATGTTTAACTACGCTATTGACCAGATTCTCGGGAAGGCCCTACACGAAGGTGACGGTGTTGAGTTTGCACCCGGACACCGACTGACTGATCTCGACTATGCCGATACTATTGCCTTACTTGCCTCAAGTGTCGGTGCTCTGCAGTCTATGTTTTCACGGGTAAACGAGGTCGCTCAATCAGTTGATTTATCCATAAACGTTGGAAAGCTTAACGTGTTTTCATGCTGCATACCTGACCAGGAGAAGGCACCTCTGGGGACTGATCCGGTCAACTCGAAGAAATAGGCAGTTTGAAAAACCTCGGAGCGAAGCCGCTGCTGGATGGACAGTGTGAGGACGACCAGTTCTGACATATTATCTCCAATAAGGAAACGCTGTTTTGCGACCAACCAGAAGGGCGCTTACTTAGTCAACAGCGTCTCGTGTGCCGTCATTCGTCTTTTCACGCCTTCCGGGGTTGTCGTTGACCACAGGCTGTAGGCAACCGGCTTACACCAATAAATGAGGCCGATGGGGCCGCCCTTGGTGGGAAAAATAACTGAGTTCTAATCAAACGCCAGTGATCCTATGCATAACGCGGATTTGGAGAAAGTTATCGGATAATGTCTGATTTTCCTCAAAGGGTGACCGCAGATTTAAACATTGCTTTCACGTTGAAATCTATTTTCTAAAGACTTTTACATAATATGTTTAAGCGACGGGCAACGTCAGGGTTATGATTGGCTGAATGAAAGCACAATAAGCCCGAAACAGTACTGTATCAATCTACCCGCGTTCTGTGTCGTCTCTTCTCGCTGTTATTAAGACATATAACTGTAAAAAAATATTCGAGTGCTTTTATGTCCACTCTTTCACACTGGTGCTGGGTTTCAAATGATAAGCTTAGAATTTGCCTTCCTTCTGAGAGCAACGAGTGATTGCACGAGGTTTCACGTTGGGAAAAGTAAAACGAGAGCTTAGTTATGATTTTCAGAGACGATAGTTGCTGAAAACTTGAATATAGCTTTCAAGAATAATTGACTATTGGTTACTACATCAAGAATGCTCCCGAACTGACTCTTTGTAGAATATTATCTTCTTCAGAGGCTACGTATGTCGAATAATTTGAAAAATACCAGCATGATTTGATAACGAAGGGAACAAATGACCATTTGAAAGGTACTGAAATAAAACTGTGAGCATGATTTGCCTTTAACGATGAGGCTTTGCAGGATGAAGTAGGAGACAGTAGAGTACTCTCGCTGGTTGGTAAATCGACAATAACCGTGGGCAATGGAGAAAAATTATCGTAAAATACATACTGATCTTTAAAACTTTCACAGGAAAATTTTTCGATGTATGTATCGGTAGAATGTAACAGGACTGAGTCCATGTAGGGTGAAATATTATGGCAGTATATTTTCGCCTGCTGATAAGACAACAATACACGACGGTAAAGCAAGTGACTAGTGCACAACAATTGAAGTTTTATCGAAATTGAAACTGACAAACTACGGAAGAGGTTAAGAAATCTAATTAAAGGTTAAAAAATCACTCATCTTTAAGAATCGAGCTGCGCACGTCACCCTTGACCTGCCAGTGGATGCGCTCCCCGAAGAGGAAGATGAGAGACATGTCGATTCGGATTTCTACATGTCTAGTAATATGTCATGGAGAAGAGTGGGTAGGGGATACACATGGTCACTCGTCACCGGCAAAGCAACCGCTGCATTTCTCATTCTTCTTCTTCCCCCTCGACAGTCCCATCGACATCCCCTGCGTCATCGTGGCCATCAAGTCGAACGTCACCGTCGTAATCACTCGCACAGACGTCTTTGTGGACGATGCAGATTCCACCTCTCGGTATTGTCACAATAACTTGGAAAGCCTATTCGGTTTTTTCGGACAATCCAACAATGCTTTTTAGGATAACTGTCATGCTTTATTCATGGGACAACAATTCTCATAACGGCGGCTGGTCCTGACCAAACCTCTCTTGCCAATCAACTTTAAAACCCACATCCAATCGTTTCTCGAATCGTCTGCTTGAAGGCGCTCATTTTTTTCTGTAGATATTGGTTTCCACTTACGTCAACATTATAGGCAGACTGAGAGGACAGATGTGCGGGTAACAATCGGGAGATGGCACCCAAAAAATACGCCCAACCAAAGCAGCCTGTATTACGGGACTGGTGGTAATTGGGTTTTTATGGATTGGGCCTTCGAATGCGTGGATACATGTCAATAATAGAAAGATTTATTTCGGAAATTGCTTTTCGAACGATGAAGTTTTACTTCATCGCTGTATAGCAACAAAAAATGGGCGCGGTGAATGAAAAGTAAACAGATAGAAGTGCTGTAGGCGTAAACCATTTTATGAAACCCGCGAGGCATTTGAGCACCTGTGATCGGACGCAGCGATCGTTTCTCTACACTCCTAAGGTATGCATGGTTAGATTTAGCCGCAACCCCACTACTGCTGTCACTCGTCAGTCGTGTAAACCTTGGTCAAGTTTGATTAACCATGACTCGGTCTACAGCGATCGCATCTCAACTGTTGGAGACTATGATAATCAAAATGAGGCAGCATATGGACTGCAGGTCGGATGAAACTGATGTCGGATGAAACAACAAATACGTAGGGCCATAACCTCCTCAAATAGATATAGTAGGTATTAATCCTAGGCAACGGATATTTGGGTGCCATCTCCCGATTGTTACCGATGTACATGTTACAGCACCGTGAAAATTCCTCATTTGATGGTGAGCTGCGCTGCATGGTCGATACGCAATAAAATGATGTGTTTTGAGCGAGTTCAGCAGTAAAGGCTGCATATCTCAGGCCTACGCCACGTAACCCTGCAAGGCGACAACTGCTGCTATGCATATGTCCGCAGTTTAGTTTCGGCCTGTTAGCCTGTTCGAGAAGTTGTCTATAACACAAGGGAGCTGAATGATGCTGACGACGCAGTATGGCGCACTTGGGCTTACTACTTAAATATCTGGTTAACCACTGCAAAGCATCTCGCGCGACCATTACGTCTTAAGACCAGGACACACAGTAAGTACCTGTGTGAATTTCAGACTTGACACTGCCATTCGAAACTTGGTGCACTTTAAGGCCATTCCGTTGATGAAACCAACGTCAGTAGGAGACAGGGCGTGTTTAGTTTTACGATAAACACGCCAGTACGTCGAAAAAAACACTGATCAGTGGCGAACGTGTTTTCTAGTGTTAGCCTTTGATTTATGTCAGATTCCGACCAAGAACTCTTAACATACTGGAGCAAATTGGACAACCATTAAAAGGCCTAGATCTGCCAGTGTAACGCAGACAGAATAAATTAAGGCAGTTCAGTCTTTCCATGTAAGATTGGTTCCTTAAACCCTTTAACAGCATTGCTGACCTGCCTTGTACTCTTTCAAGGCATGCTTGGTCCTTTGCTGGCCATGGTCAACACGCTTGATCGCCATAATCTAGGTGGGAATAAACAAACGTACTGTAAACCATCCCTAGAATCTTCTTAGTCAAAGGTCACAAACGTCCTTCTGATCACATGGAGAAATCTCATGACCATGCTTGCAGTCTTAGTGCACTGTAGCGCTGGTTTCATGTTGCTCTGGGTCCATACACGGAGATCGTTCTGCAAAGATTCGGCGGGAAGAGCATTGTCCTCCAGGAGATATGCCCTCATGCTCTCATTTGAATGAAAGTTAATTGGACGCAGAGGAAGGACGGCACACTTCTGCAAACTGAAATCCCGAAGCTATTTCTCGGACCACGTTTGCAGTCAGCGAGGATTATTTTGAAGGGCCTTCTGGTCATTCGGGTCCTAAATTACTTTCCAGAGGTGAATGTCTTCAACAAAGATTGCTTCACTGCAGTTGAGGTCTTGAAGGCTGTCATTGACATAAACGATAAAGAGTATGCGTTCGAGAACTGAGCCTTGATGGAACATCAGTTCACCAGGCCTGACATATCATTTCCGATACGGACACGCTGTTTTGCGCCCAAACATAATCTCGCTTTTCCGGCCAAGAACGCCCCGTATGCCGACAGCCGCCTTTTCACGCCTTCGGGGGTTGTCGTTGACCACAGACGGTAGGCAACCGGCTTACACCAAGACATGAGGCCGATGCGCCGCTTTTGGTGAGTAAAATAATTGAGTTCTGGTCAATCATCACCGATCCTAAACATAATGCGGATTTGGAGAAAGTTATCTGATAATGTCTGATTATCCTCAAAGGTTGACCGCGATTCAACCATTGCTTTCACCTTGAAATTTATTCTCTAAAGACTTTTGCAAAATCTGTTTAAATAACGGGCACGTATGAATGTTAGCTTATAAAAAAATGCATCGGGAAAAACATGCAATCATTTTTTTCACCCAGACACACTCGCCATTCAAGTATAGTCGTCAGATTTAGACGCATGTTCCCATCGAGCAAGTTCGAAGGGAACTTCAAAGGACCACATTTGTTAAAAGACCCCACAACACTTTCCGAATTAACACCAGCTAAATTCCTCCAAAAAGAACGTTTTGACTGCTAAAAATTTTAGCATGGCTAGTATTCATGGAGAAGTAGATATAAGTTTTGTTTAAATGTTTTACGCCCTTCAGGTTAAATGGATGAAATCCAGGTAAAAGTGTAACTTTAAAAGTAAGTTATTCTGTTGAGCAATGGTGGAGAAAATACACTTGGATATGGTCCTAAACGGCCATGCGCAATCCCTAAATTGAAATATCTCCTGTCAGTTACTATCCAAGTAATTCATGTGATCTGGCACACGGCTAAATTCATATCACATCATTTCTGGTAAGAAAGTCTAAGAGATCAAGACAGTTGTAGATTAATCAATCCTCATCAAACCTCTCCATCGTTATATCAACAGGGTGGTTGCTTTAATTAGTGTTTAACATTATCCACTATGGATGTCTGGACATTAGTCACTGGAGTGGTCGTATTCACAAATTGCCATATACAGCAATTTGCAATGGCTAATAGGATTAAAGTTCGATGGAGGCTAAGTGATATGATGTCGGTAGATTTCCGGCAAAAGGCTAGGAGTATAAGGGGAATAAGTCAAGTTCGAAAAGTAAAATTATAGCTTCATCACTTCACCACGTCCCATCTTCTATATAGGCATCGCTGACCTCAGCGAATTTCGCTGCACCTCTTGAGATTGATGGCGGCCAACTCGAAGAAGTGGACAGTTTCAAACACCTCGGGGCGAGGCTGCTACCGAATGGACAGCTTAAGGACAACATTGTCTCCCGAGTTGATAATGCCGGCTGAGTTTTCTCAAGCAGTCGAAAATGGCTGCGGATCCATCGCCGGTCTGTTTTTCTCGAGCAGGAATCCGAAACGTCTGGCAAATAAAACTCTTGTCCCAGCGATCATGTTTCCTTCTTCAAGACTACTTCCTGGGACTCGTCTTTTCGCTTCTATTGGCATTGCCGGGTTTTCTCAAGCCTTCGAAAGTGGCTGTTGATCCGACGCCACCTCTCCATTACCATTAAGACTCGCGTGTACTGCGCATCTGTCGGGCCTGTTCTTCCCTACGGGGTATTACTAGAGTCACCGACTTCATTGCCTCAAATTAACACCACCAGACATTTTTTGACGACGTGGAACTTTGTTCGGAAACAGCACATAAATGTCGCGTGATCAGAAGAACCTAGGGTCTGATCCACATTTATTTTATCAACGCTTTCCTCGTTTTTGGTAAATATTAGGTTTAGGCAACTGGATATATGGCGTTCACTCAAGTGTGCGCTCACTGCCCGGATCGCAGAATAGGCTACATCGTAACGACGAGGGGACTAAATGCAGCACACGCCGAATGTCCTTCCGGCTATCCGAGTTTGCCGTGTATTCCTTTCTATCCCGACAGCATGGGTTGTCACGGATGACTGAACTGAATTGCAAAAACCCTGCAGCCCCGTCCCAGCATTCTGCCCCCTGGATACAAAATCTGACATTTTGACGTATACCCTAGCACCAAGAGGTGATTTTCATTTGCCGTACTTGCTGGGATAAAAGCATAGCCAAGGGCTGATATAAAATAAATATGCTATCTCACGAAATGTTGAATAAATTCAACAATGGGTTTTCAATCCGAAAAAAAGATTACTTAATCAGAGTCGTCGTGTTCATTATCGAGTCACATGATGTCAAAGTATTCCGGCATTTTCAGGATGCCGACTTCCGAACGAGCTACTTATCGACCGCCTTCACAAATTAAATTCGGTAACAAATGACTACTTATGCATTACGATGGTCTTCGAAGGATTGCAGACACGACCCTGTCTTCCTACCCTACACATGCAGCAGGTTTCAGAGAGGACTGCCAGGAGAGGGACCAGAGTGAGGAGCCGGGCTACCCCGCCATCGTTCAAACAGAGGACTGGACCGTGCGCGCCTCATCGTTCATAGTGAGGAAGTTGGGCGACGACGACGACGACTCGGAACCGGACCTCTGCAAGCACGGGGTCTCCAAACCCCCAGGGGATTAAAAAGTCATGTCGTTTTCTTACAAATTCTGCACAGTGGTAGTAGTATTAGTCACAAGAAAATTAATTTCAGAAAGGAAACCATTGTTAAACCTCTTGTTGGCTTGATCAATAAAATCGCACAGAGACTGTCGAACCAGTGCCTGGAGCACCAACCTACACCGTCCACACTGCACTCGCATAATTATTCACCGCACGCGTCTGTTTAGGTCACATGCGCATCCAAAAACACCTGCGATAGACAACCACCGCTGCACCACATTACCACATCCTCCCTCACCAGCATCTCACCGCACATCAACACTCACTCACCCAAGACACCCAAATGCCACCTAACACGCAAGTGGGGAATGTGCGTCTTGGCTCCGTTTCCAAGCTGATCCCATGCTGCATGTGGGGTCGGAGTCTGAGTCCATCACAGCGCTTGAAATGCTGTGCCTTAAAAAGCCGCTGACTGACGTCCCAACTCAGTCCACGCAGTCTGTCCAACTGTGTGTGAGTTTGTGTGCAGTGGCGGACTGGTGGGCTGAGTGCAGCTTCATCTTAACGTGATCTACGACACTCACGCATGTGAGGTGTACGCAGTTCAACCCCCCCCCCCCCCCCCCGTTGCGTGTAATCGTGCATGTGGTCACCGTAGATAAGGTCACTAGATATGGCTGCCACCGCGCCCATTCCCCGCACCTGTCATCTGGCCGGCCCAGACAGTGACTGGGGATTGGAAGGGAGAGTAAGGTCGATGGCTCAGCGCATTTTCCTCACTATAAACAATCTGTCGGGCTTGAAGCTACCACGGTGCGCTAAAAGCCGTGGCTTGGAGGACTGCCAACTGACGAGATATTTTGGACCTCGCAGCCAGCCCAGTGTTATATAGAGTGACCAGCTGATGGTCTTAAAGTCAGGCTGCAATAGCTCCTCAATGTGGCATTTATGGCACTCCCAGTCCGTGCGCTCCGAGCCGGGTGCTGTGATGGCACGCCTAGATACGGCCTCGGCAGCGCCAGCCCCTTCGGTTGTTGTTGTTGATTAAAATCCTGGTCATTTGCTGTGCGGACCAGGTGGTGCAGTGTGGAACGCCAAAGTTCGAGAGCTTAACCATCCACACGCCACCCCGCCTCTCGTCCTGTCTTGACACCGGCTCGAGGTGTAGGAGGGGACGAGAGTGCGGTAGATTCGGCGCAAGTCCACACTCACTAGAAGCAAAATGCCGCGAAAGTCACTGTGCGTGCTTCGTCCTGCTGTTGAGCACACAGTGGGCAACGGCGGTCGAACTGTCGGTATCCATTTGGTTTAGTGTTGCCCGTCTTGACAGGCCGGCATAGATTTCTGACGTAACTCCTTTTTTGAGTAATTTGTAGTGATTTTGTACTGGAGCGCTTCAATTAGATAGTAAACATGCGACAATTATTAATGCATGTCTGTACTAGCCTCGGCACTTGTATGTGTCTCTCTTTCCTAAATGTTGAGGTTTTTGGCATTATCACAGTCTTTGTCAAGATAGTTCATGCGGTTGTTTCTCATCAGCCATGTAACCAGTCCGAAGCTAGGATCAATAGCAGTTCCGCCCCATCTGCTCAGCACGAGTAATTTTGTAATCCTAAGAGTAATAGAATTAGAAAGGAACGTGAAATCTAATGACTTCATGTGACAGGAGGCTCATCGCCTAAGTTACCCCAATAATTGTCTGTGGTACCCGAATCAGCGGTGGACAATTTAAGGTCACTAAACAGCCACTGAGTCAGCCCGGACGTGAGAGTGCTCTTGAGTGATTTGATTAGCCGGAGAGATGGGCCCTCGTTCTGTGTCCCTACGAAGACACCAGAATCAGACCAATGCCGTTTCTTTCCCTCTCACCAAGCGCCGGATCACCGACGGTATCGCACCTTAATTCTGCCTTACCAAATAACCTTTCACCGGTTTTGCATGCCAGCATTTTTTCGGAGTTGGATTTGAATGCCGTATATACAGTGGGCGTACTAAATCATGAAATGCCATGAGTTGGCACAATAAAATCACTATTACGCAGTACCCGCCCAACCTGCGTTCCACATCGCTACTCCACGTCTCCTCCTCTATACAGGCATTGCTGCCCTCAGCGAATTTCGTGTTCTTTGTTTGACCGAGGCCCTCCGGCACAGTCCTCTAACTGAGGGGTACATCGCATTTGTTTTTGACCCTCGGGGGGAATTTCCACCATCCACACTGCGCTACGGCATCGAGACACACCGACTGAGCGAGAGGATATTATGCGATTTGCAAAGTAGCGCAATTACTCGGAAGAACTGGGAAGGGAGTTCAAACTGCAGAAAACGGGATGGCAAGCAGAACATTCAACATATGCTGAACTGAGTTCGCTTGCCGTTAAGATGAAACATCCGAAGTAGGATTCTTCCTATAACGAAGAGGACATCAGGGCTATGGTTAGGGTTAGTGTCAGTACCCTCATGCACTTCGACCTTCCACAACGTTTGTTGAACAACTACCAATGTCAGCACACTTAACGTTTGCGTCACGTGACCTTGTAAGACGAACACGGCCGCGATCAATTGTGGACGCAATTCGAATCAGTCTGGGAAGAAGCATCAGGCACAAAATAGAGTTTGCTGGCGCCAACGACGCAGTAGCTGGATTTTGGGAGTAATACTGGAACGTTTGGTTATTAAGGAGAGGTAAGATTGGTCTCATACAATGTTGTGCTGGATGTCGACTATTTTATCCACTTTATATTAAACATCAATAAACGTGCTGGTGCGAGAGTGTCTGATTGAATCTTCCATGGTCTGGAATATCATATGATTCGACACTTTTTAAAAATTTAAAGATATTTCTCCTTCAAGCATAAAACTAACAGAAGACGTAAGTTTCTACCAACGGGTTGAAAAAAAATATGGTTTTTGCGCATGCTTTCTGTTGAATTTAGTTGAATTTATGAGGTCATCAAAAATCCTTTGGAAAATCCGTGCCTCACCTGTAGTCATTGGTTACGGAACCAAGTTTGTGAGGGCGGTCGATAAAGAGCTTGTTCGGAAGTCGGCATCCTATAAATATTGGAATATTTTCGCATTAAGTGGCACGATAATGAAAATGGCAATCCAACTTAACGCAAGAGACGCCCGGTCGTCGCCAGAAACCGGACCTTGAATGTAATCATTGCGTCCACCGTATGACCCGTGTCCACTAGGTGCATTGTGATTGAGCTCCTTGGTACCTTATTTTCCGCCTATATCAGTCACTTCGGCATGTGTTCAGCTGACCGAGCTGCCAACTGCCTTTGCCTGCGTCCAATTTATTTGCATCTGTAAACTCATAAATACACTTTGATGTGGCACGCATAGGCAAAATATCTTCAGCTGTTCTAACTGGAGTACTTATGAACACTGCAATCCTAACTCGCATGCTAAGATGACTTCTCTCACTCATGTCATGCGCACCCGCATACTAAATCCTACTTAAGTAATCTTCATAACTAAAGATATATTCCAGTTTTTTGACCTGCGTTTCATGAGACCGCACAGCTCCTACATCTCAAAAATCGGCACTTTGGCAATAGGTGAAACACTGACGCAAGGGGGGGTGGTATGAGAGAAACTACATATATACTCTCCTCACACATGCCTACTGATTGTCATTCATACTGACCAGATGCCAGTTTAGCACACACGCAGAACTTCATTTTGCTCTGCGATGACCTTCGAAGGATTGCGGACACGACCCTGTTTCCCTACTTTTCGCATGTGGCGGCTCCCGGGAGGACGTATCAGGCCTCACACAAGTGAGAGAGAG